ACACAAGTTCAGATTTCCACAAGTGATGTCAGCGCAGGTGGTAATGGCATTGGAGGGTCTGCTGGTACTTCTGGTGTTGGAGCTGGTGCCAGTTCCAGTGGGAGCTCCAGCAGCAGTGGAAGCAGCAGCGTCGGGAGTGCTGGTACAAGTCAAAGTGGTAGAGTTGATGCTGTTGGTACCAGTCAACAAGTTGGGGTTACCGGTTCTGCTGGTGGTGCCGGTACTGGCACTGACCTCAGGATCAGCGTGAGTGGAGGACACATAGATTCTGCTGCTCTTCAGCTGGCCATCCAGCACATGTTAAGGGCTGAAATGCAGTCGCAGGCATTCAAAGGTACTACACACACACACACACACACACACAAATACACATACATATCTACATATCATGCACTACATTCATGTAATTGTTTTCCTTTTTCAGCTACTTTAGCATCCTCAGTACAGGGAGAGAGAGGATTGCCTGGGCCTAAAGGTAAAATATAACAAAGTTTATTTAATTACATCTAAAACTATAAAGTTCTTGAGGTAATCAAAATCAGCTGCATGTCATTTTAAATTTTAAGAATGTTTATTTTCCTACTCTTTTTATGCGACCCTGGAATTAAAGGTTTGACAGCAGTATCTCTTACTGACCAAAATATTTTCTTTTTGGAGTATTTAGGGTGAAGTCCTGCTCCATTTTTCTGCTCTTATTTCTCTTGTGTTTTATTTTTTATAGGAGATTCCGGTTTCCCTGGCATCCCAGGTGAGTAATGATGACTTACATTTTCATTTATTAATCACTACAGCTCACCCAATTTATTTTCAGGCCGATATTATCTGTTTGCTGATCTATCAGTATCAGCATTTATAACAGCAGTTAAAACACACTTCAACCATGTTAGGACCGTTAATAGTTTGTCCACCAGAGGGCAGGTTACAATTTTCCTGTTGTCAGCGTGTTTGGCACACAACACAAGCTGATCTGAGTAGATTTGGGCAGGGTGAAAATGGCTTGACAAGTGTTACAGAGATCTGTTTGTGTTTCGTGTGTCTGAAACAAAAAAATATCAGCCGAAACACTGGAAAAGTGGATTTAAAATACCTCCAAATGTCAGTGTCAGTATCAGCATTGGTATCGGATGCTAGTCATCACATTATTTTATATTTTTCTTAGAATTACTGTGTGGTATTGTTACGCCATTTTTACTCACTGTGACTGTGACTTCAGGTCCTCCAGGTGCGATGGGACATTCAGGCCCCGAAGGTCCCAAAGGACAAAAAGGAACCCAAGGTACACAAAACATTTCAAGTTAAAATTGAATTCATGATGTAGCTGCTCAGCTGAGTTAGAGCCACTGATCGTCTCTGTGCTATATGTGTGATCAGGTGAACATGGAGCCGAGGGGCCACCGGGTCTTAGAGGTCGTGAGGGCCCAGTTGGCCCGAGAGGTGAGCCAGGACCTCCAGGCTTTGGAATTAAAGGCGACAGAGGTATGGTTCATACTCAGAGTAATCAAAGACCTTGTCTAGCTTGACTCGCAAACAGTTTGTCACTACAAGATCTTTTATGTTTGGCTTGTGCAGGTGCTCATGGAGATCCTGGGGTTCCTGGGTCTGTAGGACCTATCGGGCCCCCTGGACCAAAAGGTGAGATCAGTAAAGATGGAGCTTTCAAGTTTAAGTAAACAAACAAACAAAAACATCTATGAATGCCTCGTTATTGAGCCATTTATGAGATGACAAGCATTTAATCCCTCGTGGTGTCTGTGCCGCTTGCAGCAGCAGGTGGCAGTATAGAGTCAGTTTATGAATACAGCCTCAAGATGCAATTTGCAGCTGACATTACTTATCAAAACAGAATAAACAAAGAATGGCCTATCATTGCTTTATTTGTATTCATACTCTCCAGAAATATGTTTTATTTGAGACTTCATGCATAATTAAACTCATATGTCTTTCCTGTTTTTCCAAATAGTGTTACCAAAACGCTTAGAAAGCTTCGGTTTAGAAAACACTGGAAAAAAAGTTGTTTTTTTCACTACAGTTATTTATTTACTTATTCATTTATTTTACATCTGTGTCACTTTAGAACAATTTTGATTTCTCAGTGTAATGAAAGAAAGAAAGCTCAAGCTTTCCTAAAGTGCTAATGTGAATCAAAACAGTTTTTAAATTCTTATTTTTGTCCAAATGCTGTTGTAATTATTAATTACTAATGATTCTTTCAGGTGCACAGGGGCTGTCTGGAAGTTTTGGGCCACCAGGTTAGTGCATTAAATCGAATTCATCTACTTGCTTAGCAGAATTTACCACAAAATGTATTTAGCACCAGCTGAAAATAGCATCATTAGCGTTTTAACTTCATTCCTGGCCTTTAACATGAGCTGCTTTGTGATAGGTCAACCAGGTCCTCAAGGTTTCCGTGGCGAATCAGGGCCTGCTGGGGCTAAAGGTGGGTTTCACACTACTCACCTGCTAAATAGTGTGAAATTCATAGTTAAATTATTTATTTTTGATATATTATAACGTCTTTTTCGTACTCTGCAGGTGATAGAGGGCTTGCTGGATTCCAGGGACTTAAAGGTTTGTTGTACATCCTGTCAGGATTTTAAATGACCCTGTGTTGTGCTTGTTGATCAGAGTTTAATTCATTGTTTATTTCAGGTGACACTGGTGACAAAGGTCCCAGAGGTGCACAAGGTCAGCACAGCTTTGTAATTGAAACTGGATTTGTAGATGCAAAATTAGCATGTTTTAAACGTTCAGTCTCTTAATTTTCTGATCGAGTTGTCTGACTTCTCAGGTGAATCCGGTTTGCCAGGTCCGCCCGGGCCAGCTGGAGAAAAAGGCTCCAAAGGATCAGTGGGTGAGTCAGAGGACGTCTAACCTCGGATAGTAGATTCTAATAGATTCTCAGACACTCGGATTGTGTTACTGTGCTGGACTGCCTCCTGGTGTTTCATGTGGTTGTTTAGAACCTGCAGGAGCATGAAACAACATTCTCTGTCAAAGAGGAGTCTGCTCATAAGGCTTCCTCTGTCTATAGCTAAGACTTGTTATTAAGTCAGCAGCATATGCGTTTATGTTTTAGATAAATTAAATATAAAATATTTTCTGCTTTTTGCCCATCAGGACTTTCTGGACAAGATGGCGCAAAGGGATCAAGAGGTGAATAACTCATTATATAAGCACTGCATTTGCACTCATTTACATATTATTTAAATAAGAATATAGAACAGATATAGGTAAAATTAATACATTTATTTCACACAAGTTTAAAATAGTATAATTAAAATAAAAATACATGAAAATAAATAAATCCTAATGCTATTCCTTGGGCCCAGGTGACCAAGGACCAGCTGGGCCTCCTGGACTCAGAGGTTCTGCTGGGTCTCCTGGGGATAATGGACTTCCAGGTAGGGTTGCTGCTCTAACACATTAGCAGATAATAAATCTGCTACATATATTCAGAAATATATTCATAATATTTCCCTTCTGTAGGAACACCTGGACTTCAAGGACCACCAGGTACGACTGTGCCATTAATACCTCTCCTGTTGTAGCATATTATTAATTCTCTGGAAGTGACACTTTGAATGATGTCCACACTGATGATGTACTTAAATTGTATTTTAGGGATACCAGGAAATCCAGGACAACCCGGCACCAAAGGTACAGCTGCGTATGTCTGCCTGCTAGTTTTTTTTGTGCTGTTGATTATGACTTTAATACCTTAACGTGAGATGTGCATGTCTGTTTAAGGTGACACTGGTGCACCAGGACGCATCATCAATGCAGGTAACAGAACATCATGAAACGTATATTTTAACAGACTCCTGATAAAGACTGGAATTTGACATCTGATAATCACATACATTTAGCAGCTGGCTCCACTGCTGTTGGCATCCCAGGAGCACCTGGGCCTGCCGGTCCTCCTGGTCCCCCTGGGGCTCCAGGATTATCAGGTCTGACGCTTGATAGCCCAAAAAAATAGTTGGACATCCATTTCATCGCTGAATTATAGTACCAGCATTAATGTTTTGTTTTTTTTATCTTTAATTTACCTCCTCAGGTCCCATCGGCCCTGCTGGTCTGCCTGGCCAACCTGGTACGTCATTGTGGTTTTTCTTGTTCTCAACTTGAATTTTCCTTTCAGATTCAGATTAAAACCCTAAATGTTTGCCTTTTCAGGTCCTAAAGGTGACAGAGGAGAAAAGGGAGACCTGGGAGAATCAGAACTATCCTTGAGGAAGAGGAGTGAGACGGTTTCTTCAAGCAGAACAGACAGTGAGTACTTTTGAATGAATTTATTGAGGCGTGCTGTATTCAAGGGCCTGGACTTCTATACATGTATCTATATATATCTACATCTATAGCTACGTCTATCTATCTATGTATATCTATATCTATATCTATCTATATCTATCTATCTATCTATCTATCTATATATCTATATCTATATATCTATATCTATATATCTATATATAGATATATAGATATATAGATAGATAGATATAGATGTATTGTATCAGAGTTTGGTGGCCAATGCTAACTTTAGATACAATAGGTTCCATTGTTTTACTACCACTACAGAATCCCATTTTTTACTTTAACCTGTCCCCCACTTGAGTTAGCATTACTTTGATAGTAGCCATTATTCAGTACTTGCCACTTCTCTTTAATAAACTTGTTTTTGTTTGTGCTTCAGGGCTGTATCGTGAAAATGGAGGTTTCGCACAGTCTGGCCCACCGGGTCCACCTGGGCCTCCAGGACGTCCAGGTAGATAACACATTTTATATTTAGTAGAAGTTTCCAGCACATCTTCACATTGTTCTAAGGCGCACAGAGGAGAGGATAAAGTCTAAAGAGCCCAAAGCCCCAGGAACACTTACTGTAGTCTACAGCAACTTTCTTGTCAGACTAGTCAATCAATACAGTTGTTCTATAACATTATAGACATAATAACAGGTAACATCTTTAAAAGTTGTGTGGGATTTGTTTGACACAATGAAAAATACCTACTGAGTCATTTGAAAATGTTATTTATTAGGAGATTCCAGACAAGGACCTCCAGGACCACCTGGGCCCCCAGGCCAGCCAGGCAAGTTTCTGTCTCAGCGCTGTTGTTGCTGCGTGTGAATCTGATCCATTCTTCATGTAAAAACTCTTATTTTGTTCTTTCTAGGTTATGGAAGACCAGGACCTAAAGGAGACAAAGGGGACTCCAGCTTTGTATCCAGCGCTGGTGGTATGATCCACAGTCATAATTCTGTTATATCTAGATTTGGGTTTTACATGTAATTAGTAGTAACAGAGCAATGCCACTGACTTCAGCACTGTTCTTCTTACAGCAGCCTTATATCCAGGACCACCAGGACCTCCTGGGCCTCCCGGGGCTAAAGGATCAACAGGTGATTAGTCTTTGTGAAGTGGTCTGATCTCTGCCTCTCTATTAGCTCTTTATCATACAATTTTTTATCTTTGTTTTAGGTCTTCAAGGGCCCAGGGGATACCAAGGTATGATTTTTATCTTTAATTTTTGTCTATATTTTTGGCTTTTTTTAAAAATCATGCATCCATTTATACCAAGCCTCTCTGCTTGTGATGCTTATATTACTCTTAAATAATTGACATTTGTGTCTCAGGTGAAACCGGTCAGCCAGGTGTGCCCGGCACCCCGGGAACACCAGGAACCAACGAGAGAGGTCAGGACTTCTAAATAATCATATTACAGTTAAATGAAGCCATGTTTACACATGAACTTCAGAGGGGGCAATTGCACAAGCTGACACAACACAATAAAAAAAAAATACATTATGCTCTATCATGTTACTTCAGATGTTTATGTATCAATTCTGACTTACAGTGTCAACATATGGTGGAGGACGTGGGCTCCCAGGACCACCGGGTCCACCAGGGCCTCCAGGGCCTCAAGGATTCAAAGGTAAAGCTAACAGCACTCTTAAATCAGTGGATGAGATGCATTATATTAGCTGTATGAGTTTGTCACACAACAACAATACATTTGTTGTTTATCTTCCAGGGGACACTGGAGCACCAGGCGCTTCAAGAGGTAGATAAAATCATGAACCGTGTCCTCATTTCTGTTTACACTTATAGACAAAGTCATGAGTGTCTTCTTCTTAAAAACAGAAATAGTTCACAGTGGCTTTAAAGTCCACTTGTACTCCACAGGATTTTAACTGTCAGGTTTTTTTTCTTTCCCAGGCTCAATCTCAGTCACGTCAGGTCCTCCTGGTCCTCCAGGTCCTCCTGGCCCTCCAGGCTTCCCGGGCTCCTTTGCTTCTTCTACTGAGATGCGGCAGTACATCAGTGACTATTTAAGTAAGAGACTTTCTAAAGGGAGATCACTTTCAGAGGGCAGAACATGGTATTGACTTGTTCCATTTCAGGTAGAGCCTCTGCCATTCCTGGACCTCCAGGTCCACCTGGACCACCAGGACCCCCTGGAACCTACTCAGGCTCTATAGATGACATTTCTCTTCGTGTCATTGCATACCTACGACGTAAGCATTTTTTAATTACGTGACAGAGATGAATACTTATTTCAGAGACACAGTCAGTAAACTAGAACCACCTCTAAATGTTTTGTGTAATTTCAGGTTCAGACTCAGGATTCAGTTTGGGTGTTCAGGGTCCTCCAGGACCACCTGGTCCTCCTGGACCTGCCTCTGGATCCCTGACAGTCAGCGGTCTCATAGCTATGCTTCAGAGTGAGTACAATATATAGATTTTAGCTGTATCATACCCAGCTTGCGTTCAGCACAGCACCTCTACAGTCTCTTCATCATCATCTATCATGCTTCCTTTTTTGTTTTTTAAGCTTGGATGCACCAAGTTAAACTGTGTCTTTGCTCTGATCTGTCCAGGAGATGACGTGAGGAGATATTTGACAGGACCACCAGGGCCACAAGGGCCACCAGGACCTCCAGGGACATCAGTAGGACTTTCAGACAGTTATAGAGTAGAGGAGATAGCTACATACGTCTTCAATTTCATGACCGGTTAGCAAAGATTCTTACCTAAAAACACTAAACATGGATACAGCAACTGGGCTTAAACTAATGGGTTTTATGTTATTTATAGAGAGAGGACTTGCAAGTGGTGCACCTGGGCCACGTGGTCCTCCTGGGGTTCCAGGGCCTCCTGGTCCAGCAGGGTCTGGCTTCACTACCGCTACTATTGACTATTCTGCACTAATAAAGAGTAAGAGCATTTAATTAGTGTCTGTCTCTTTTTATTAACAGACACTATCATGTTTTATCTGGATAACCAAAATAACCTGCATACAGAATGATCTGGATTCAAAGTTTCTATAAAGTTACTCATCTTCTTCCTCATATCTTCAACTTTTTTAGATTCAGATTTCCGTTCATGGATCGCATCTGCTGTGCAACAAGGCCCTCCTGGTCCTCCGGGTGTTCCAGGGCTACCTGGGCCTACTGGCCCTCAGGGCCCGCCAGGAGTCTCCACTGCTACTGTGTATGGGGCAGGAGGTCGTGGCTACAGCTTGGAAGAAATCCAGCGTTACTTGCAGGGTATATCTAACAGAGAGAGTGACAATAGTCTTGTGTTTACGAAGCGACGTCTAACCATGAACTAACTGAACAGGATACTAACTGTTTAAGGGTCGACTAAATAATTTTACACCAGTGGAAATAAATTTAAAAGTATCAGAAATTTTATCCATCCAAGAATTAAATTTCCATTAGTACTCAAAGAAATGTTATTTGTGAACAAAAATTACATGTTTGAGCTCCTGTCTCTTTAAGACCATTTTCGCCCGATTGGTTGCCCCTCACCAGGCTTCCGCAAACAGAATTCAGTGCTCCACCGCTTTATCTGAGGCCAAGATAAAGCCAGAGTAATGTGATCTTGGCACAGTAGTAGAAAGAAATCATTTAAAACCAAGTATTTGGCTCACCATGGTTTCTTTTATGTATGCTGACCATATTATTTAGAACATCCAAATTCTATAATACATTCATATTATATATTACTGAAAATTAGGAAAGGTTTAGAGATACTAAAGAAGAAGAAGAAGCGGTCTTTTGTGGGATGAGTCACAAAGTTCTGGCTTATTATGAAATACATATCAATCATATCTTTTAATCTTGAGTTTAATACAAGATTAATTTTTAATTTGTAAAATTTAATTTGGACGGTTTTTGCTTTTTTCTATTCATCTTCTTATTTAAACATGCAGTTAGTGGGGATCGGTTAATTGGTCAATCTAAATTGCCCATAGGTGTGAATCTGTGAGTGAATGTGAGTGCGAATGGTTGGCTGTGTCTCTATGTGTTAGCCCTGCGACAGACTGGCGACCTGTCCAAGGTGTACCCCGTCTCTCGCCCTGTGACAGCTGGATAGGCTCCAGCGCCCCCCGCGCCCCTGGAAAGGATAAGCGGAAGTGAATGGATGGATGGATGGATGGATCTTCTTATTTAATCCAAAATCAGTTTGTACCAGCTTTGTTCATCTTGGTCTCTGTTCTCTGCCAGGTTCTGGGTTTAGAGGTCTTCCTGGCCCTCCTGGTCCTCCAGGTCCACAGGGTCCACCAGGCACTTACACTGGATCAGTTTCTTACAGTGGGAACTTCCCCAGGGAGAGCATCCACACTGAAATTCAGCAGTATCTAACCAGTAAGCTTTTAACATCCCACACAGATACAAATATGAAAAAACATTCCCAGCAGCACAGATGAGAGCAGATATGACACATTTTCTCTCTCCAGGTGACAGTGTTCGCCGTACCATCATGGGACCTCCAGGGCCTCCCGGTCCAAGGGGTCAGAAAGGAGAGCGTGGAGAGCCAGGCTACATCCAGACCTACGCACAGAGTCAGACCTACGCTCAGGGTGACTCTCACAACAACCCACAGATCAGACAGATAGATGTCAGCAAGCTTGCTGAGACATTGGACTACTCTAATGTCGCCATAAAAGTTACAGACTACATCAAGAGTAAGTAAATTACCAGTTAGTCTACCAGTTTTTGTACCTTTGTGGCAGATGTGCTGTTACAATTACAGTTCCTATAATGCTGAGAATTCTACATGCTAGACCTGACGTTCAATGTTTCTTAAGGCCTGTTTTTTAGCCAGTATGTTTTTTTTGTATTTTTTGGCAAAAAAATGGCACCATAACAATTATATTATGATATTAGCAATAGTGCATTGGTTAATGCATTCATCTAACAAGTGTAAGATTCCTGGTTCAAGTCAGAGAGGAGACAAAAAACCCTCACAGGGTTGCATCAGGAAGGGTATTATAACAACTCTGAATTCAGATTCAGTTAGAAGAATTTGAATTAAGTCTCTGTCTCCAAATTAAGCACAACAGTGCTGCATCCATTATAAGCAGCCTCTTCTGTGAATGTGAATGCTTGGCAAACCATTGAAAAATGGTAGCGTGTTGCATGTTAATAACAGATACACAGAGCCCGATCCCAGTACGGGAACCTCGAGGATTTGAGTACTTCTCACTTAGGCCGATGAAAGACATGCAAATTAACTTATATGACTACAGTGCCTTCTTTTTTTCAAATAACCTTTCTGCAGGTCAGGGCCTGCTGCAAGGGTATTCAGGTGGGGCTTCTTTGACCACAAATGTTCGAGCTATTCAAGGCCCGCCAGGCCCGCCCGGCCCTGCTGGACCACCTGGTCACAGTCGTGTTTTTGCAGCTTACGGCAATATCACAGCTGATCTCATGGACTTCTTCAGAGGTAAATATACTTATGATTGTCCACCCACTTGAACTGTCTCAACTTCTGAAGTGTTGCTAGACAGTGCAGTTTTACCTCTAACAAATCTGTTTTCTGTCCTTTCACAGTCTATGGCACCATTCCCGGTCCTTCAGGAAGCCCTGGGCCAAAAGGGGAAAGAGGGTACCCAGGACCCAAAGGAGACAAAGGTACACTAAAACAGATTTTATTTACAGTGCGTACAGGTAGAGTAACATTTTAGTGCAGAAACAACAAGAGAGTTTTGTATGGTTACAGGTGATCCTGGACCTCCAGGTTTAGCTGGAATACCCGGGACATATACTGTCCAAATTCCACACAGAGTGCAGAAGAGGGAAGCAGGTAAGCTATTATGATGTCAAACTACAGGGGAAAAACAACCAATTACATGCAATACTGTGCAAAAGTCTTGAATCAACGCTCATTTCTTTACATTTTGCTTTTAAGGAGACAGACTTTCTTGTAATTTTTGTTGAGGAACAGTTCTCTAGGATTTCTGTAGGTTTTTCAAAGGTTTTCTTTCAACATTGGCTGCTTTTTCACTTCTTTTCAGTTCACTCATTGTTCCTGACCATTTTTAGAGGAATATTTATTTTATGTGATAAGCCACTTAACACTGACTTATGAATCAGTCAGGCATAAAAAATGATCAACTGTCATGTTTACACATAGCAGACAACTTATATTTTTAGGCTCTTAGTTATCAGCAGTTAGTTTTTAGACCAACAAGGTGATTCCCAAATAGATCTTAGCCAAAAATATATAAAATATATATCTCAGCATGGTGTGCAGTGTGACCTTTACAAAATTTGAGGAAACTGGATAAGTGGCAGGTCTAAAAACTATGTGCAGTAGATGAACAGTATCTGAAAGTGAATCTGAAGGGAAACTTTGTGCCACACGACACAAGAACAGGAGTGAAAATCAGTGGCGACTGGTCTTATTATCAATATGTGCAGGGGAGTGTAGGGGACAGGTACAACAGTGAGTGTCTATAAGCTATCTAGAAAACACAATGGTTTTGAGGCTATGGAATACCATCTGGATGGTTTTCATCATGACAATGATCCTAAACACACAGTCACTGCAGTAAAAGCATACCTTAATAGAAATAGAATAAAACGGAACACAATGAATCATGGATCTATCTCCTCTGAGTCTAGACCTCAACATTATTTGAGCTTAGTGGGATCATCCTGACAGACTGGAACAAAAGGAAGCCAGTGTCTTTGAATGTCCTTCGGGAACCCTGGAGAACTATTCCTGAAGACTACTTAAAGAAAAAACAAGAAAGCTTTCTCTAGTGTTTAGGTTGTGTTAAAGAGTAAAGGTTGTTGTACTAAATATTGACTTCCAAACATGTTAGAATTTTCCAAATGCTTTTTTTACTGTATTTCCATGTGTTTGCACATATTTTCAATTTTCCTAGCAAAATATAAAGAAATGAGGGGTGCCGATTTTGCACAGTACCGTACATATAAACCGGTGCATTCCTACACACTTTTTTTCATCCCCTGCAGGCAATAAACTGGTTGGTCGTCGTCAGAAGCATCGCCGTCAGGCTGGCAGCGGTTAAAGGGCTAACATACTACTGGATCATAACAGATTTCATTTCATTTTCACTCAGTTTTTTTTTTAGGTCTTTAACTGTACCAATTTAAGTAGCTAAAATGCTTTTCACTGTTTCCAACTGTAGAAAAGTCAGTTTGAGAAAATAAAAGCAGCCAGAAAAATGCATCAGTGTCTTTAAAACAGCTTCAGTAGACATTAAGGGTTTATAGACGCTCGTCAGTGTTTTTCAGGCATATACTTCATTTTGTTTTAATCATGTGGGTGTATAATGTTTACTCTGGTTAATTAGAAGCTTGCAATTGGACATTTTCCTGGGGCAGCTTTGTTTACGAGAATATATTTTTAAGCAACAAGTAGCAGTCGCTGATATTTTTTGCATCTTTTTCCACACTGAGTGCCTGGTGTACCTTTTTTTTTTTTTTTTTAAATTGTCGTCATTTGAGGATTATATTGTATTGAGGACTATATAAGTGTATCCATAAGCATTCACTGCATACAAATTACAACAGCTTACTCTTTAAATGCATACATGTATTACTATGTAAACCTGACAGTCTCAGACAGAGGGAGGGTTACAGTTAATGTTGCTGCAGGCACAACTGATAATTGTGGGTTAGAGACACATTGTTGGCGTGGTTGAAAGAGTGACTCGGATGATCACTAAGAAGTGGATTGGATTGTACATTTTTTGTGTGAAAGGGCACTGAATTTGATATATTTTTTCTTTATACCTTTAAGTGTTGCAGAGATTAAGTTATAAAATGTTCCCAGATTATGTTTTTACATGATTATACCTATTGACATTTTGTCAATATAAAAAAAAGAAGGAAAAACAATAGAAAAATAAACCTATTTTTGGAATTGTGAGTTTTGATATTTGTACTACTAAATTTGTCTAAAAATAAATTTCACTTGAGTTGCCAAATAAACAGTCAATATTTTATTTACAAGAAAAAAAATGTCCATATATAAAGACACATTAAATACATTTCATCTGACATAAAAAATGCATATACTAAAGAATATTCATTGTGATAGAATGAAACATTAAAATGCTGTAACATAACAAAATAAAAAAATATTTGAAATCTATTGGTCGAATGGTGTAATTCACATGACAGCCTCCAGAAACTCCAATAAAAATCCAGCATTTATGACAAAAATCAAATCAATGTTTATATATAAGCATACAGAAATTATAACATGCATCGATGCTATATGGTGGCAAATGAAACTACAGTAATTTCTTGTTGTGAACCATCAATACTTTATCGTAAAACGCAGCAGAGGGCATCTCCTCACACACTGAAACTCGTACAGTTACAGGACTGCTCTCAACAAGTGCAAAAGTTCACCATGAAGAGCGATTACAGCATACCAGGAATACAGGCTTAGAAGATTAGGCATGGCTGTAAAATACTAAGGGCGTATTTGAAAAAAAGGAAAAGAAAAAAAAGAAGAAGCTAAAAGTAATTTTAATAAAAAAAAACAACAATATGTTGAAACAATTCAGCTTGGAGTTTGATTAGGCTTTGGTGAGGCAAAATTTTCTACTGCATATTTTTTTTCTTTAGCTCATGTGGCAATACAGTGCAAATCAAAAGCTTTACATTCCTTCGGTAATTATTCATTACAAGACGTCATTAGTTTGTGAGATTGCTGCTCAAAGTCGACGGGAGAACTGATTTAGTTAACGTCAAAAAAACCAAAAAACAACCCAAAAACCCCCAACCCAACAGACCACCTCTGTGTTTTGCTGACCGGCACTGAAATCAAATTATGTGCTAAATCAACAGATATATTTTTGTTCATTCATCTCTTAAGATGGTGAAATGCTTCTGGCAAGCACAGTATTTATTTAAACCTCATATCTAGGTACACACCTACAACACAGTACATTCTTTTTCATCTGAACTTACAGCCTCACGATCCCAACATTTTAACTCCCGTTAGACATCAGACACTGTGCACAGAAGACTACACAGACATAACAAAGTCTTACATCTATACATGGTTGTCTTTTGACTCCGTCGCCCTTCAGCAAGGTCTACTTTACATGCAGCCAAACTAAATCTCAGAGCAGTCTTTGATAACCAGCTTGTGTGAATCGATTACACTGATCTCATGACATCTTGTGATTACGAGCAGAATTGATAACCAGTTTTTTAAGTGCAAAACATTCAGGTGGGAATCTATTTACTGCAAGCTGTAGAAAATGCAGGGAAGGGCCTAAACGCAGAGAAAAAAAGAACACGAGGCACTGGAGATTATTCATATTGTAGCAGAGCTGTGCTTAACAATAATAATCTGAAAAGCATGACTGACCTCAGCTACCAACCGCAGACTTTTAAAAATCTGAACATGCTCAAAACAAGTGCATATCATTCATTTAGAGTCTTCCCAGCAAGCTGAGGAAACCCAATTAAGTAATGGAACGGTGTGTAGGCACGTCATGCTCGCGAATGGTGGAACTTAAGTAGTGAAACGTGTTCACGTTTTCAGTTAGCGGTCAGAGAAATGACGCCTCGGCTCGTCCTTCAAACTCCACTCCTTTTTAAACTCTGGAGGAGTCGAGTTTGAGAGCAGAGTTTGACAGCAGTCTGCTTTGCAGCACGTACGCACATTAGGCTACAAGCCAGAGTTATTCAGGTTTGGGATGGGATAAAATTTAGATACTCGACTCTGAGTGGTTGGATTAAGGCATTCAGATTCACCACTCATCTTGAAGAAGACCTCCTGCTCCTGGAGCTTGCGTGTGAACTCCTCCTCTAACGCCTGCAGGGGGCAGCACATACAAACAGAGTCAACCAATTTGAAGATAATATGAAAAAATCTGTTGAGACAGCCTGCACAGGTGGATCCTGAACATGGCGTCACTAGAAAGAAAATGGAAGAAATAAAGTCACAAACTTGGATAACGAGCATACCTTCTTCCTTGGTCTTAGCTTCTCTCTCCACTCCTTTATCTCTTGGCTGTGTTCCTCATCCAGCTCCTTCAGCTTTTGGGTCTCATGTTCAATTAGAAGGTGGCATTTCTCATTCTGAAAGAAAATGTGTGTTAACACGGGGCTGTCATGATTAATAGAATCCTGTGTAAGTCCCTACACTGCGACATATCTTGCTTTTTATTCCTTTAAAAATAGATGCTGTCTGACATCTTTAATTTGTCCTCTACTTATTTTCTGATAATCTTCATAAGTCACTGTTCATTTATGAATCTGTTGCAGTCACTTTCAGTCAGCAGAGAAAAAACTTAAAGGATTAAAGATTAAAAACTTAAAATGCACATTAAATATGCAGTATTAAATAAATGATAAAGAACCTTATAAATTAATAATCATGTTAAACTAGAATTACTGCACTGCAGTTTTACTTCATAGCAAACAGGCTGCAGATTCCATTCGAGTTCAGACTTATAACAAATGTAGTTAAGACTGAAAGTATTTAGTAGATTAGAATCAATCTGCTATAGCAGAAAGATTAGTATCTACCTGCTCCAGAGTTATGGTGCTGAATTAAGGGTCGCAAAGTGTTTTTGCAGCGCATTAGCAGTTTCAAAGTGAAACTGACCTTTAACCTTTTGGATAAAAATGAATTAGATTCAACTTTTTTTTTTTCCCCAGAATGACATTTTTGTCATAATTAGCATATTAATTGTTTAACTGTTGCCAGAAAGCATTTAATTCAGCTCTGTGATCAGAATAAAATCAATAGTAAGAGTCTGAAGTGACCGGCAACACCTAATAGAAATCGATAGCGCCGGCCTCCAGAAACTCTTTCTACAGGCTGCACATAAACATTTGCAACATGAGCATGGATTAACCGAAGCAATAAAAACAGAATAGATATACGAGGAAGCCATAAATATTAATGGCATTTAGTGAGAATATTTCAAACAACAGTACCAAGTACAATTAATATTGCATGTTTTAAATAGCCTCTGCTACAAATGTAGCCTTGTTAATGTTTACTTTTCATTAGCATTAAAAGAAATATGTAGAAAAACTACTGAATCCTGTTGAATTTGAATGTCACAAATTATTATTTTTTAAACTTGCTATATTCTTGATGTGGTTATACTGCAGCCTACACAAGAAGTACCCAGTCTTTCACCCTATCACAGCTGGAATAAGCTTCCTGTGACCTAAAGTTAGATGAGTTGTTAAGAAGATGGATGGATGGATGGATGACGTGGTTATGTGTGTTTTGCTTAATATTCTGGAGCTCCATAGAAATGTAGTTTAAAACATATACGGTAAACATAAAAAGACAGAGTGTAAATGTGAGCGTGTTGAGCTCCACCTGCAGCTGCTGCAGCTCCCTGATGTTTGAGTCACACTGTAGCTGCAAATCTCTCATCTGGTTCTCATGTTTCTGGTGTTGGTGCAGTCTCTCGCCCTTTTGTCTCTTTTCTTCCTGCAAAGCAAACTGGACCATGGAGACAAAAACACAACAGACAGATGTGAGCATGATTTGCGGTTTTCACACAAGGCATAGGAACTGCTAAAAATGATGCATTTTTTTTTCTCTATGCCTTTGGTCATAGTGTCTATTTCAAATAAACTGACCGTGACTACAAAACAACACAAGCATGTTGCGTATTAACATTCAGAATGTCAGCGAATAAACTATTTGCACAAACTAAAATTTAAGATTTCCTCCAAGATCGTTCACTGAGCTTTCATCCACTAAACTAAACTGAAAGTGCAACTTGAGAATGATGGCGTCAGTATGGATTGTGAAATGGTGAGTTGGAAAGTTTCTGGTCTGATATCCAAACAGGCTGGAATAATAAAGGGTACTGTGTTTGTATTGGTCAGAGCCCAGGTGTGAGTCTAAGCCAGTGTAAAGCATTACTGCTGAGAGAAAGAGGAAGAAAACCCCCCCAACAAAAACTGATGTCCAGTCACTTCTTTTAAAATGGTCAAACATCACTACCCCGAGCTCGCAGCGGCTCTACCTGTTTTATCCGCTCTCTCTCCTGCTCTGCGGTGATGGATGCTGTGGCGGTGATGCGGAGACTCTTCTTGAACATAGCCATGCGGGTCTTGGCCTCGCTCCGTTGGATCTTGGGCAGACGCACCCTCTCTTGAGTCTGTTTGTTCTTCAGCTCCTCTATCAGACGCTGGTTGTAGCCCTGCATTTGCTCCATCTCCTATAAAACACATGTATGCCCACAGTTTTGTTTTAGTGGGTTTATTTAAATTTTACAGTTACATTTACAATTCCACTCTGTGCTTGTACCTTTTCATGCCTTTTCAACAGCTGGTGTCTCTGCATGAAGTACTGGTCTTTCAGCTGCTGCTTCAGCAGTTGGTGCTTTTCCTGCAGATGGCGCTCCTCCAGCTCCCACATGGCTGCCTCTCGAGCTACAAAACACATGTGAGCACAAACAAGGCTAAAAAAAACAAAACATGTGCATGCATGTTTGCTGGTTACCAACAGGGGTCTGAAAACCAAACAAAAAGGCAAAATTGGATAGGCAGCAGCATATCCCCTTAAACACAGTGTCTCAGTCGTCTGGATGTCACAGTCAGAATTTACACACTTGGCAAGCAAAGGAGGCATCACTGACATCAACTTCCTCTACACGCTGACTCAAAAATAAAAGTACATCTCAGGCTGTGGTTTCTTTCATGTTTGTGTCTGGCATGAAAATGAGGTTTGAGGCACTTGAATCTTGCACAGGATACGTGAGGTAAGTTGTTTGCCTTTTTGTCATGTTTAAAACAGCAGCAGTCTTAAGACAGAGTGGCACAAAATGTGGTATCTCTGACTATGTTCTCAGTGTTCGTGTGAATATAACACTGCAGTGTGATTCGAATCAGTGATCACCAGATTTACAACACAATTACAAGTCAACTGGTAAACATGAGGACCCTGTAAACCTAAAATACCCTGTGATCATTTGTGTTGCTCAATAATCTAACTCTTATGGCATACATTACACAATTACCCTTAAAAAAGATTAACTCCAAAACAGAGCAGTAACAGAGTCGAGTCTTCTACCTCTCATTAACTGCTGTTTGTGGTTAAGGCAGTCTCTCTCAATCGTGGCAATCTCCACTTTATGCTGCTGGATGATTTTCTTTAGAGCTCCATCCAAGTCTTGTTGCTGCTTCTGTAGGAACTCTTGTTCCTGAGGAGAGAAGAGCAGTGAGAAACTGCCTGGGGAAGACATGGAGATCACTCAGAGACAGCAAAAAGTAGAGAGGGGAAGCACAGCAGTGTCACAGTTAGACTGCATCTTAATGATCGAATCTGCCTGAAGCAAAATAATGTAATCTAGCCATTCACTTCAAAATTCAGTACAACACAGAGCACTAAGATGTCACATCATCAACTGGACTCAGCAAAAGAGACACTCAGAGTTCATGGATGGCAACAATCCACAATGAAGTGAAGAAAGAGAGAAAAGTTAACAGTTTAGTAGAGATACTGTGGCACAGTTTTATGTAAGACAACATCTACAGTGACATTCACATTGCCCAGAAACCAGCCTACATTATGCATGACTAATTGCATAAGAAGCCAAATTTTCTATTTATTTTATTTAACTTTATCTAGCTAGTGTTAACTGTAAGTTGTATTTTGATTATAAAACTATTATTAGGTAAAACTGATCATATAACTCATTTGATTATAAGAAAACTAAGGTAACGCTGTTATTATACAGTTGAATCCAAATTAAGATGGTTCAAGTGTGATCTCATAATCCACTTATACACAATATGAGTGACTCATCTGCCCTGAAAGGCAGGCTGTCTATATTGGCTGACAAAGACAAACATGGATCCAGACAGAATTCATCAAGAGCTGCCACACAGCGGTGCAACCCAGATTTAATCTAGTCTTAAGCAAACTGTGTAATACAAGATAAATACCATATAAAATACACAGACTTGATGTATAACATTTGTGAACTGGTGGAGGAAAAATACTGAGCAGGAGAGGAAGAAAGAACCACTGCACAAACACAGTGATGACAACACTCAAAAAGGGAAAAAAAAAAAAATCCCAACGTTGCCCATGCTTACATGTGTTGAACCATCACAAACTATCCTGTCATGTAACTTCACACACATCTAAGTATGGGCCAGAGATGGAGAGATACGGGGCGGGATGGGGGGGCCACTTACATCCTGCATCTGAGCGTTGAAGAGTGCGCATGAGGACAACTGAAAAGACTGTATCATAACCTGGGCCACTGCCTGTGGAGGAGAGCACACAGCGCACTTGCCCTGATCAGGGACAGACAGCACACAGCAGCCTGAGGATCTCTCACGTCAACACTCACTCAGCACTCACACAGATCCTTCCTACATTAAGAATGGGTTTTCCACTTTGGGATTGTTGGTGAGTTTAAGGCTCGCGGCGAGGTCTGGATGAATGTTAGGAAGTCAATCAATTAGTTGTCAAAACTCTTTGTCTTGCCATGCTTCAAAGCGGCTCATAATTTTAGCATTTTTGTTAAATCCAGCTGGTAAAAAAAGCAGTTTTGTTACTTTCCATGCTACTGACTTACAGAATATTTTAAACAAAATCAATTAAGGTTTACCTTTCAAAGAAAAGAAGACATTTGTTTGTGTGTCTCAGACTGAGCGCAGGAAAACAACGTTTGAAAAAGTCTTTCAGTAACGATGTTTACTGTGGAGACAAACGCTATGTCTGCAGTCGCTCCTTTGTTAAGAGAGCCTGAATGGTGCCTGAGGTAGCTGGTAAATGGAGATCTGACACTTCTGAATCATCATCACCACCACAGACTGTATGATCACCACTGACAAGTGTAGCATTACATAATTAAATTCCACATATGTAGTGTCAGGAACAAAGATGAAGAATTGCATTGTGGGACATTTTGTGCTTGATGGACAGGTGTGGGATGTGCAGTATTGAGTAGCAGACTACATGTTATGGTTATTACATTTTGGACACTTTTGAAAGGAGAAAACCTTACAGTGTATCTAATAATGATTATTTTTTTGTTTTGAGCAGTCATCAGTTAAAATAAAAGATTTTTCCATATCAGTGAAGATGGAGATAAACAAGTATTCAGATTTGAAGCAAATCTAAAACATTAAATTTGTGTTTCTTTTGCTTTGTTGATTCATTTTCTGAGGAAAAATAAGAAATATTCAGAACCCGATTTGATTTTTAACACTGACATGTGTTCAGTGGCCGCACCACAAATTTTACTTCCATAAAGATTCTAATATTCATTTTTTGGTGACAGCTGGAAATCTCAAAGTTCAATTATATTTTTCATTACTGAGGAAAACAGTAAAAGGTGGATGTTGCTTCCTTTTGGGCATTTTAATTTTTTGTTCCTCCTACCTTTATTTAATAAAAGGCTGAATATTGTAAAATCCTTTTAATATAATGCAGTCCAATAAAACACTTCCACTGCTATGTGTGACAAAGTAGGAAAATTAAATCTTTATCATAGAATAGAAATCATGAAAGCAAAAACATTTGTCAGAAACCTTGTATGTAACTTCACTGGTGACTGTATGTTATAATTTATTTCTCCTGAAGAAATCTTCATATATATATATATATGTGTGTAACATAAAGGAAATTGCTATTTTTTTTAAAGCTTCTACCTGAAGCACAAATTTGTTTTTTCCAAAATTCAGTGAGAGCTAACCATTTAACTGTAGCGTGTACATGGTATTATTAAAATCTTAGAGAAAAAGTTTTATAAAGAAGGAGAATATATTCAAAAGTCAATACAGCTCAGTAGGTAGTAGATAGATAGCAGATAGGGAGCAATTACATACACAGATAATACTCCAGACACAGAAGGTGACGCTTTACCTCTGCAGTGTTGAGGAGTGCGAGGTCCTCCTTTAAGCGTTTCATGAGCTCTTTTTTCTTGTGTTTGGGTGAATGTCCAACTTCCTGTATGGCCTAAAGTGTGTATGTGCAGAATCGGTTTGATCTCTATAGTCAGAAAATCTAACAAAGCTGGCCAACAACAGTAAGAGTCATGCACTGCCCAGTCTGAGAGGAGAGATACTGGATCCAGCCACCAACTGATTTAAAGTCAACATGCTTAATTTCCACCTCCTGCATTTAACGTTTCTTTGAACTGTCGATTTGACCCCCATGAGTTAGAGTCATGTTAAAAGAAAGAATTTGACTTGCGCACGGCAGAAGATGTTAGCCTCAAAAACAGCTCGCCCTACATTACTTTGCATTCGATTAAGTCTCGCAGCCATGAACATGATGATTCGTGGGGGAAAAAAAAGAAAAAGAAAAAAAATAGAATAACTGAGTTGGAATTGTTTTGTAATTACAAATTAGATTTAACAGTGTAATAAAACAGGTTCAACATAATTTTCTTTCAATTTGCCATTTATAGAGGACTTTAATTTATAATTATTATAATTTTGTTAATAATGAATCTGTTGATTATTTATCCATCTTGACCTTAAGATTTCCAAAAAAATACTGCAGCACTATTGAAGACAATTCCATGTCAGTTAGTCAGTCCAAAGGCATTTATTATTTGACCCAAATAAGCCCAACACCACTTGGAAAAACCTTTCAAATCTGGCCATCCCATGACCAAAGCAACCTCACACACTCATACAAGAAACATGGTTAGTTAAATACACAGTAACAGTACATTTCAATAAACAATACAACATGACAAAATGCAAAAAACACATCTTATCCATAGCCTAATTCTTGGATTTTTACATCTAAACACCAAGAAAGCAAATGCAAGCCAACCTGTAAAACAGCATTAAGTACAATAGCAATAACAAGTAAGTAGCCTAAGCACCAAACTGGGAGGAGCATGGCAACCACCAAGGCATCATCGTACACAACAGATGGCAATAAGCACTACTGCCCTTAAGAACATAAAAAGGCACACCCAGAGAAGCATTTAAAGGCTACTAAAGAGCACAGAAAGAGCCAGTAAAGACTTATAAAGACCAAGCATGAAAACATCTGCACCATCAAGCACAAGCTTAAGACATCAACATGTCAAGGTACTATCCTGACTTTTTGTAAACAGTTTTCTAAAAATAACAAACACACCCCAGGAGCAAAGTATTTCTTAAGCTGCAACCAGAAGCCTCTGGGCAGATGAATAATGGATACAACAACAAGAATGAGCAGCATCTAGGAGAAGGATAGCACAGCCTGTCTGGGTAACATTTGCACACATACAGCAGGGCGCACCACTCCCATAGGATTAGTATGAGACAGCCAGGTTAGCCACTGGCTAAGTTGTAAACACATGCACCATTAAACGGCTTGTGCAGTACACATCACATGCAGCTGCTCTGGATCACAAGCTCCCAAATTTAAGTACTACTCAGCCCACTTCCACAGAGAAAGACACATGCAGGGTCATACCTCTTTCTTGCGGTTCTTCAGCATGTTTTGGAACTTTGAGAGCTCCTTGTCTTGATCTGCTTTGATCCGTTTGGCTTCGTCTCGGAGCCGGCTGGTGTGATCTTGTTCCAGTCGCTCAATGGTCTGTTTCTGCTTCTTCTCAAGATTCTCCACTTCTTGGTCGTATTGACGCTTTTTAGCCTGAAGAATCGATACGCACTAGGGTCACCCTGACTATTCCAAAACAATATATATTTATATTACATTTTACATAATCTCTGTTTTTTTGTACGTTTTTTCATTTTGCTTTTAATGCAAATTAAAGTTTCCAATATTGTGAAAATTTAGCAGTTAAGGGTCCTCCTTTGATTTAAACACTTGCATTAGATTTAGCCCAGATTTGACATTAAGCTGCTAGTTTTTCAAGGAGCTAGCCAAATGCCAAAAAAAGAAGAAAGAAAAAAAGCCCATCACACTAGTGCAGTACAACCAGAGTGACTCACAGTAGTTTCCTGTTCAAAACGTCTGTAGATCTGCTCTCGCTGCTGCTGCAGCTTGTCGCTCAGCTGCTGCTGGGCCCTTTGCTCCTCTTTCTGGAGGAGGCGAAGCTCTCTCAACTCCTGCCGCCTGCAGTGAACATATCAATATAAGGGCATGATATTTACTTATCAAAAAAAAATCTAATACTTTTTTTCACAAAAACATGGATGGAATTTTATGGTTGCACATCAGTGACTTTAAAAAAAAAAAATCTAAATGTTTATTTCAACTTTAGTGACTCATTCATACTCTATGGCTTTTCGTGCTTTGATGAATCTTTTAAAATTTTTTGATACACATTTGTGTCATATATTACTAACAGGAGGGTCGTGCAGTAGTCAGACAGCACTTGTACACACAGTAACAGCAACATGCCTCATGTCTTTACAAGGCAACATGAGAAATGACAGTAATATAATGCGGCATTCATCACGGGAGATAACCCATCTGGCATTTGTAAAAAGCTGTGGGAGTTGTAAAAAGAGCGAGCACTATTTAAGGCAGGCGAGTTAAATGGGTCATGTCACATATTTAGAACAACTGTATGTCAAGCAGATTAGATACAGACATACCTCAGGAACCTCATCTCCTCATTCCTGGTGTCGTTATCAGTCACTATCTTAGATGTTGTCACACTAACCTCCACACCATCCACCATAAACTTGCGTGTCTTTTTAAGAGTCTTCTTCTGTCGTTTTGACTCCTACCAAAAAGCAGGGATGCTTTAGAGGATCAAGTAATCAGGGTAGTGTTGATAATGTAATAACTGATGGTGTAATTGTGGCACAGACTGTATTACCTGCAAGGACACGGAGCCCCCTTCTTTGCTCTTAGACAGGAAGCTGGAGATAGACAGATTGAGGTCGAGGCTGTTGCTATCAGCAGCAGAGCTGCTCCCAGAGTCAGAATCCTTCTCCACATCTGGCCTGATCACAGCAGGGCTTCCTTGCTCCATCTTGGCTTCTGAATCCGTTTCGCTCTCTTGGACAGAGACAGCATCTTGGGAAGTGCTCTCATCTGCGTGGGTTGCTTTCTCTTCTTCTTCGTTCACACAGGAATCTTTAGGTGGGACCACTGAATCCTCAGGGGTGTCTTTAACTTCATCACAGATGCCATTTGTAGACTCAGTTGGTACTTGTTCCTTTAGCTCAGCTTCCTCTGTGATCTGGCTCTCTTGTTCAGGCTGCTGTGACTCCTCATGGGCCTCATCCATAGGCTTCTCTTCTGGTTTTGTTTCTACAGGCTCAGCAGATGACTCATCCACACTTAATTTTGTGTCTTCATTTATAAACGTGTGTCTTCCATCTGATTCCATATTCTTTTCATCTGTGCCATTAGCCATGGCTTCCATTGTGCCCTCTGTTAGTTTGGGTTCAGTCGTTTCCTCCTCGGATTCTTTGCTTTCTTTTTCTACCTCTGGCTCATCTCTTGGAATGGATTCTGTTTTTTCTGCACCTTCAGGTTCTGCTTGTGATTCTCTGGATTCTTCTTTACCAGCTTCTTCTTTTTCTTCCTCCATTACCTGGGTAGTTTCATCACCCATTATCCTTTCTTCTGTCTCCTTCTGTTCCTCCTCTGTTTCTGTGACAAGTTCTTGGTTGTCTGTTGTATTTACAGGTTCTTCTGGCTGTGAAACTACTTGCTCAGCAGAAGTCTCTTCACCTTGACTCTTTTCTGGTTTAGGCTCTGTGGAGTCATGTGAGATGACATCTTTGCTGGGCTCTACTAGTCCAGATGCCAGGTCTTCATTACTGGCATCAGACACCTCATTTAATTTCTCCTCCTCAGTCTTGTCTACCTCACTTGTTCCAAGTCCTTCATCAGATAACTTATCACTAGTCTGGTCCTCAGCAGGCTCAACTTCCATCTTTTCTTTAACAGCCTCAAGAGTGGAAGGAGTTGATGGAACTTTGTCATCTTCGGAGCTGGCCACACTGACATCAGAAGGTGCTCGCTTGTGCCCGGGACCAGCCTAAACCAACAGAAATTGCAATATGTCCACAGTGAGCAATAATAAAGCTTACAGCAATGAGTTTAATGAAGCTATCAACATCAAGTGTTCATCTAAATGATAAAAAAATTAAAATACTATAATACTTGTTATACACATACCCCCAAAAAACTACATACCAGAGGTGTATCAGGTTCTTCCTCTTCCTCCTCCTCTTTGCTATCCTCAAGCTCTTCTGTGACTTCGGCTTTGGCTTCAGCTATGAGTTCTCTGAGAGGTCTGCTGTCAGTTACACTGGTGACAAAAGGATGCTACATATATAGACAAAAGATATCAACATTAGATAAAACATTTTTATCCTGCAAAATCATTTAAAGTGTGACACATTAACATCTGACGGACATTTATGCATCACTTAGTTTTATAGTAGTTTGCAACTGCAGCTCACCTGTAGAAGCTGTACTGTACTCCACCTATTGTCCACATTCTTGTCAAGTGCTTTGCGCAGAAAGTCGCTGAATTCTGGTGACCTTTAAATGGTAAAGAAGACCGAATTTGTTGGTCCCAGAACAGAGTAAGTACCCCTGGGTTTTTCTTTATATAATGTAGTAATTCAGTAGTAGTTATCCTTTTAACATTAATATTTTATCATGCTTTCACACATGCAAACCCTCAACATTTCCTCATCTCCTGTTTGGAAACAATCCAGCACCACCTTCCCAGTTATCACCAGCACAGTATCTCACCAGCGAGAGGGATTCATGAGTGTGGGCGGCTCGGACTTGGCTATTTTCAGTAGCACTCTCATGGGATTCATCTCATGGTTGGGCGGTTCAATCTGTGCCAGTTCTATGAGCGTTACGCCAAGGGACCAGATGTCGGCCTTGTAGTCGTATGGACGGTCTTTGGAAGTTTCGCACATTACCACCTCTGGAGCCATCCTGCGAAATTCAATCAGTCAGTAAGAGCCACCAATCAATAACCCACATTTTGGAATGCAGGTAAATGAGGTCATTCAGCATATCTTCTAATTCTTAAGGGTCAATGCTCTTATTTTCCAGGAGGAAAGGAATATAAAATAGAAAGTTTGTTTAATACATAGATTTTTTCAAATGAGTTGTTATCCCACATTTTTGATGATTTAAAACAAGAACAACAACAACAACAACAAAAAAAACCCCACTGTCACCTTAGCTGTGGTACAGTCTGAGACAATTATCAAATACTAAGAGGTGAGTGCCCTCTTGCAAGCAGGCAGTGTGACTCACCAATATGGAGTGCCGATGAAAGAATCTCTTCTCTGTAATGTCTTGGTATTTTTAGCAGACACGCCAAAGTCAGCTGAAAGTAGAAATAAATCATGATTCTTTTCATCAATGAATTAAGCTAAACTGTAAAATGACACCCTGTGAGACTAGAATAGAAAATAGCATTTTCTACCAAAACAAAACACAGTAGAGAGTGCTTTACACTTATAATATTTATCCCCAAAGTGAGCAGAAAAGCCTCACATTCCCTTTCATAATGCTCTTAGGGTCCATCATTGTTGTGTTACCTGTGCAGTTATTTCAGCCTGCTCTCTTTTCTTGCATCACTTACAGTATGCACACATTAGAGGGAAAAGGAGATCTATCATTAAGTCCCTGGTGACTGGCTTGATAATTATTGTTTGCCAGGCTCCGTCATGACCCTCTGCCTACAGAACATGAATCATCAGGCAGCCAGGAGCTATGGATGCTGCAGCAACAACATGAACATGAATACTCTTACTTCTGAAACATTATGCATCACCAAAACGCATACATAGGTAGACTATTAAAAAAAAACAAAAAAAACCCCACATAGCAAGCACATCACTTTGTTCTCCAAGTTTTTGAACCTGATGCCAAATGATGACTCACTAAATTTTTATGTGTAAACAAACCACAGTGCTGCACTGTCACCACCAACCCCAAAGTCAAGCTACAAAGAGATCTACAACATACTTCAACGGCTGTTTTAATACAGAGCCAAGGACAAATCAAAGAATGAATATAATACTAAAGTGAGTTTAGTAGACCCCCCCCCCCTCCGTTTTGTTACAAATTCATCCCAAGTAAGTAAGTCGTGTACTTAAGATTCAAACCAAACCTATGTACTTCATTAAACATGCTTATTGTAAAAAATACAAAACAAAAAACTGATTCTGCGAGAACATTTAGTTGATTTTAGTATTTTTTAACAGAATAACCTCTCATATTTCATTTTGTTAGTAAATTAGACAGGAAATGGTTAAAAAAACAACAACACAATTACCCAGTTTTACATCTCCATCCAGGGACAGGAGAATATTCCCAGCTTTCAAGTCTCTGTGGATGATCTTGCTCTCATGAAGGTAAGCCAAGGCCTCCAAAGTCTGCTTACACACCACACGAATCTGGGGCTCAGTCAGGGGTCTCTCCAACTCTAAGGACAAACATGCACAGAGAAAATTCCAAAGTCCCAATTTTTCCCAGCGAATATTTTGCTGTAGGCTTTGTTATACACAAATACAAGCACAAAATGGGTCATCTCCACCTTTACATCAGCAAGCACATATGACTAGACAAATCTAGGCGAGTCATAATGAATCAACATTGAATAGTGAAGTGAATTTATTATCATCTTCTTTTGTCATTGCAATTTGCATTTTAAAATGAGTGGTTTTGTGTTTCTTTAGGCTTCAAAACAAGACAGAGGAAGTGCATGAACAAGAAGTACTTTAACTGCTTCTTGAAACCTGAGCTACAATAATTACAGTTGGAATTGCTTTGCCAACTTAGTAGAGGGGGGAAAAATCCTTCAGTACAGGCTTCTGGATGGAATAAAAGAGTTGGCATTAGAGGATGGAGAAAAGCTGCAGAACTTCATAGTGTTACTCTTTTTTTGCTTTAGTGAATGAGGGACTTACCCAGCATGATGGCATCGACAGCACCGCCTGCACAGAACTCTATCAGAATCTGTAATGGTAGAACAAAAGAACATTAAGTAATACACTTATATAATGCAATAAAGTCCCAGTTTAACCTACCCTTGCAGCACACGACTTGATTAAATAAGGAATTTGCGACTTTCAAAAGCTGGAACAACATGATGTTTATTGAAAAGATTGATTATACTGTAGAGATCAAGACGCCAATCAGCCATACTGAGCTATACGTCTTTTGGTTTCCATTCTACATGCGTCTGTCTTTTTGTCTTTCTTGAACTGAAATATCTGTAGAAGTTCAAGCTTTGAACTTGATAGTACAAAATGCAAATTGTTTCTTAAAAGTATAGAAAAATGTTTAGTGCAAAATGCATGTAAATATTTTACACATACTATGTATGTTTCATCACAGATCCTAGTGAAAAACGATTTCCTCATTTTGGTAAACACTGCAGAAGAGTTTGAACATGTAGATTTAGGATGAGCAAGCACGCTTTAAACTAAACCGCTGCATTAATACTGAAGAACTACACAAGAAAATCCCTTTGCACATTTTTATGTACAAGGGGCAATACTTACAGGAAGTGAACATGAGTCTCTCCATACTATGCCAGTTAAGAAGACATGTTATTTAAAATACTTAATAACTTGCATTATGAATGTTATTTTTTAATACAATATTTCTAAAATGTTTAACATTTGCTTATATGTTTATATATAAAGGTTTATAGGTTTTAATATTTAAATGAGGGTTTGTCATTAGTCTAAATATGTACTAATTTATACACTTATACTTTATAGAAACAACAATATTTAAAAACGTTTTCTGTGATGATCCCTTTAAGCCTAAAGCATTTCTTCACAGTACTGTGCTTCTGTCAACAGTAAGAGGAAGACATCCATTATTGCCATCTTTGTAGGGATAAAACTCATTTTTAAAACAGTATGCACATATGTGCATGTTAAAAGCTTTGAAAATACACTTTGAATGAAAATAAATCGTTGGGTGCAAGTCTTCCTTAATTGGACATTTCTAGCTTGGAAGAAATTTCCCCAAGGGAAGAAAAAACAAAGAGGGAAGATGCTTTTAAATATAAAACTGTGTAATTTTATAGGGGATATTTTAACAACAAATATCAACATAAAATAGTGCCAGTTAACTACTTAATTACAAGTTTCAAGCTGATATTTTAAGATGAAATATCAGTGACCTCATCAAATATGCAATAATTTTCATAAAGTGCAGTGATTCTTTGGGTTCCAGAGAGGTAACTAAATAAAACTAATGCACATGACATTACCATGGGAACATTCATTCCCCTATTCTAGGATGTAAAGCTGCACAGGTTCTGACCTCAGTTGTAAGAGCTGATGTAATGTACCCGACCAGTACTTCATCATTATTGGCTTAGCCTGCACGTTGCTTGGCAGCTCATGGTATCAGATGATACAAAAATCAATCAAAGCTACAAACAGAGCACCACCCTCTATTCAGTGATTCAAACAAAAGGAAGAAACAAAGTGGTTCTTCCCGTTTGGCATGCCATCTCTTTTATAGTTTACAGGTGTGTATTAAACTAAACGTACACTGATTGTAGACACAAGTCAAAGTAAACATCTGTTTTCTAGCAACAGATTTCCTTTGTAGAAAATTAATGAACATATTATACATTAACTCAACACCCGGCACAAGCTAAATGTAGGCAGTTACACATTCATCATGCTATTTGAACTCAAAGGCCAGAGGGACAACCTGCATGTGGCTCTGAATTATTCACAGGCACTTTCTCCAGCCACCAAAACTGCTCCATTATCTTCCCATGGTTGTGGCCAGTCCACAAGGGACAGTCACATGACACCCCCTGCTAGGACCTAATTGCTCTGGGGCCTCTTACTGCACACAATGAGATCTACTGACCATGTATTAAAGCTGCACTCTGTGCTCACAGTAAAACACCAGGATGAAGATGAGGGGCTGTGTTCAGAGATTTATATGTTCTTTCTCATTATAAAAGACACTGTGCACACTGGTTATGATTTGAGGGAGATAGGAATAAGGCCAAATTGAGGAGTATTCCACTAAATACACAAATCCCTCATTATAAATAGGAAGATGTATAAAGTATGATAATGCATTTCTCAGTAGTGGCCTATTACTTCTAAGCAGTCAGGTACTCCAGTGAAGCATGCAGTCCTAGTCGTGTATTAGCCTCTGTTGCTTACTGTCATATGACCCATTCTAACTCTTGAAGAAATAAGAAAAGTTTAGTGTCATGACCCATCAGTCGAATGATCTGAAAGTCCTGTGAGAAACAGCATAATGAATGGTGCCTTATAATGAATTTCTGTCTCTTCATGCTTCACTGCTTCTTTGTCTTGGTGGCTTCTGATCAAACAGCATTACATGAGGAGAAAGACACTCCTCCCAGCAGGAAACTGACGAACTTACCCAAAGTTTGCTTTCAAAGTAGAAAGCGTCCAGCAGTTTGACAATGTGATGATGGTTGCAGGAGGCCAGAATGTCAATCTCAACCATGTAATCCTCCAGTTCATCCTCAGTCTTTGTGTCGATAACCTTAGCAGCAGCCAGGGTCCCATTCTGCTTGTTCTGTGCCTGTACGCAACATTGACAAAATGATAAATTGTAGAGTATATCCTTACAGCACACAGTGTATAAAACGGGAAAGGATCATGCTAATTATAAGCAAAATGTTGCTCAGCATAATTTTACAGAGCAACAACTTGTAACTTGTACGGAATTACGGAAGAATATCAACATTAAGAAAAAAGCCATTTGGAGCAATATAAATTACGCAGCTTACAGAAGATTGTATCTCAAGAAGCTCATTTCAGAGACTTAAGACAACTCTTTGTCAAACATTGATAAAAAAAGAAAAAAAAATTACAACACATCCTGTCATTCTGAGCTACTCAAACACAGGCCGATCTTGCAACGCTTGCTCACTTCCTCCACTCCTTTTCCTCCCCTCTTTTTTTTCTTTGATCTCACTCCGTCACACTCATTGCAGTGATTATTATACCAAATATGTATATGATTTAACAGGTTTGTGCCATTTATTGTACAACTCAAACCCTAAATTCTCATTCCTGATAGAGCTGCACCGAGGAGACCAATAAAAATGATCACTGAACCTGTGAAATAAAGCACTGGGAAGTTATTTTAAAGCCAGCCTAGGGCCTAATGTTTATGGATACAGACACAATCTCAGGGAGTTAGGGAAAAAGAAAAGGGAGGGAGTGTAAAGACCAACTGCAGCAGAGTGTGTCAGACCCTATATTTACACTCTTCTGACCTGACACACTCCCTGCCTCTTTTTCCCTTTGTAGTGGCTGATGCCTGTCAGGCGCAGGCCATCGCTTACATGCAGATTCCATATTAGCTTTACAGTGAAGAGAGACGCCATAATTTGTCTGTCACTTGACTCATTCAAGAAGAGCCTGTGGCCTTTGCTCATCATGAACATGACGTTTTAATGTGCTAAATGCTTAATGTTGATCTGTTTTGATGAATTAAATGAGAGCGCAGGAGTGCTAATATCATGTTTAAGAGGGAGGGAGCAAACTTTGTGGTTCTTTGTAAATAATAATCATTGACAGTTCAGCACTGGTTATTCAAATGTTTTTACCTCATTAAATAAATAAATACATTTTTGTCTGTCAGAAAAAATTTATCTGAACTCTGGAGTTTAATTTATGGAAGCTTAAATATATTTGTGTTTGTTAAACAGCCAAAAACAGTAACAGTAAAAGTAACCGCAAAAATGTATGTACCTCTGTTAAATAAGGTAACATAGACTTTTTGTTTGCAGACCATCATGCTTACGTGTATATTAACACCCTAAAGGCCCATTCTGAGCCAGAAAAAACCCAACCTTGAATGTGAATAAATAGATAAATGATAAATGAAAACTCCCATATCGCACCACCTGTAGAGGTCTATCTTTGAATAGGTAGATCAAATTTTTAAAAAATGACTCATTGCATGGAAAGAATTACATAAGCAGTTTGTTTGCGGTACTAAAAGTGTCTATGAAACACTTAACATGTAATACATTCATCTACTAGTTAAGAATTCTCTCTCTTCCGGTTGACCTCACTTGAACAGCTGATTCACATGTTGCTTGCAAACTCTGCGACCCCACCCAAAGGAGTTAGCTGCCAGAGGCCTGTGAAGTAGCAAATGAAAGCACAGTGTGCTTTCATACTAATGTGGCCTGATTAAAGATATCTCCACCTGAGCTCACACAAGTGATAACTGGGAGTCAGGTGTATATTTTGTATACTTTGGTGTGAGACGGCACTCAAGTATTTCTTGGCTCTCATCTCGTGTAGCCAATCAGCTAACAAGACTAGGAAATAAGTGAAGACAAATTAAGATTTATGGGCCATTTGCTGCATTATTTGAACACAAGAGCACCAGGAAGGAACAGCGTTAAGTAGCTCACAATGAGAGAGAGAGAGAGAAAGAAAGCTCTTTAACAGGGATTAGTGCCAAAACAAAAAGAGGCATGAAGGCATGGAAGGTTGTGGAAACTAATTTTCACTAATCTACTAAAACAGTTATATACATTGAAAAATATTTAAAAGAAACTATGTTAAAAAAAAATAAGTTAACCTCTACTTGAGCTACAAGTACACAAACATTAACTTTTTCTAAAGGGTGTTCTCAGCCTAGAGCAAACTCCTGCAGAGATAACCTGGAAAGGTAAGTAAAGTAGCAGAGATTACAGCTGGAGGACACAGCATTGAATATTTTTCCATGTAGCCCAACCATACACCAACAAACTACACAATTGGAAAGCATACCTGACTTTCTAAGTCAGCAGGAAAACAAACCTAAACAAAATAATAAACAGGTACTGTTCTATGTCATTAAATTGTATGATTATACAAGTGTGACATGTACAGTTCCTATATATATATATATATATATGGGTTGGTGAAAACAATAAACCAGATGTGACAAACCACTGCCCTAATTTAAACCCAGCTGTGCACCTGTCACAGTAATTAGCATAAAGTGTGTGTGTGTGTGTGTGTTTTTAAAAGTCTGGCTGCACCTGCTCTGTCATTTTATTAGTTTAAACTATTTATTGTGGTTGTCCTGACATGTCACAGCCCCAAATAATCCAACATGTCACATGTGAGGCCATATTGATTCTGTATGCGGACCACACCTTTATCAGTTTTTAACCAACCCCAAGTGCAACTCACTGGTCAAGTCATGTCTATACTCCGGCAGTGACAGAAAGCCTGTGCTAAACCTCCTAAATAGAAAATATCCAAAAACTAATTGAGTTTAAGATCCCATATTAGCAGTTAGTCAATTCCTGCATGATTTATATGAAACAAATGTTATTTGCTGAGGGTTAGGTGGCCAAGGTTGGAAAATGTCACCCAAACAAGAGCTCTAACCATTGCTGTCAGCTTTACAGCTTATGACCTCTAGACAGCAACATGCGAAACAACTGAAGCTAGTCTATAAAGAAATGTAGAAAACCAAAGGCGGATGTAACGTAACACGTCAACTTACCTTGTACACTTTCCCAAAGGCTCCATCTCCCAGTTCCCCAATAATTTCCCATATCTCCTCAGGATTGGCGTCTCTGTGTACATGCTCATACTGCTTCTTTTTCTTATCCGGCCCTAGTTTGAAGATCTTGCGAAAATTGAAGAAGGACATCTTTTTTTAGGTGTGAACTACAGCACCGCGAGTACGCTCTCTTCGGTTATTTCCGCCAAGAAACTATAGCGGTTCCCTCCGACGCGGAGCTCAAAAGGCTATCGAAATGAGAGCATTCAAGCGTTAAATGAAGCCAGGCAGACCGGTGCTTTAGCCATTCAGCTATGATAATGTCAATTATAACTTCCCTCGACGGCGGATATCACAGTCACATCATAGCTAGCAGCCTTCACAGGACGCTGTAGGAGGAGATGAGGGATACAGAGAAGAGTTAGCTGTTCCGCAAAGGCTCGTGTTTCCGTTTTGAGCGAACAAAATTAAACGAAGCGGAAAAAAATATTTACCGTATCATCACTTTCGACAGAATATTTTATTTAATCGTATAACGTTACCAACACGAAAACGCAGTCAACGGACCTCATGCTTAGGTTGACTGACCACACACAAGTTAGTGGACTAGCATCAAGCTGCTATCGCAGCTCTCGATATTTCCGCTAAAGTCTTTCAAAATAAAACGCAACTGTTACGCAGACCTTTTTATTTACATTATTTCGCTTTCAATTTCGTCAAAAAAAAAAAAAAATGGTAGCGATATTTTGTATTAATTATTGATGTCAGAAAAAAGTTAAAAAACTACAAACTTCTAAACTTGTTTTGTGATACAGTTAGCTGCCAGGTGACAAAGAAAAGCTTAGTTGACTAATACAATAAAGGGTTTTAAAAAACCCGCACATATTAAACTTATGAGACAAAAAGAAAATCTATAATAGACCTTCTACTGCCTACGTCATAACTGTACAAGGGTCTATAGCGTTTGGAGTTAGGTGGTCATGGAGGCCATGGATGTCATAGGTTACAACTGCCTTTCTGAGATAAGATGTATTTTTGCTGTGGCTTTGTACACTATATATTCCGTATCTAAATAAACAACCAATTATAATTTACAGAAATTATTCAAGTTAGATCAAATGTAAGTATATTACGGTAGAATATATATGATTATAATCACATTTTATAGTAATACATTGTGTGACGGTACTGCGTGACAAGACCGAATTTAAACCTCGATGGTTAGGCGTTTCAATGTACGATAGGGGACGTTATTTTACCGAACCGGTCCGCTTCACTGGTTCAGTTTGGAGTACGAGAAACAGACTGGTTTTATTGTCCGACTTGAGCAAAACAACAGAGTGGACGCTTTTACGTCGGAGGATAATATATAGATAAAATAGATTTCCGCTGTCAGCAGGTCTATTTCTAGTTAGCTTGACTCAGCTGGGTAGCGGCTATTTCCTCCCCAGCAGGACGTGCTCTGCTCAGCCGGGCTCAGCCCCCTCGCCTCTACCACGCATGCTAGTTGTGGTCCTCCTGTTGGCATAAAGAGGAGAAAATGGTAGAACCCTCATCCCCCTTTTCTTTCTTTCTTTCTTTCTTTCTTTTTCATTTTGTGAATACCTGGTAATATTAGTTTAATTAGTTTATTAGTTTTCACATTTAGCAACAAAACTCAGTGCATCGCAACTCATCTTTGGATTTCACTGTTTTAAATTACTGTAAAATAAAATTGTCTTTCACTTTTTTACTTCTCATTGGTTTTAACAGTTAAACAGTAAAAACTACAGTAAAATTAAAAGTGGACTACTTTTATATTTTTAGAAATAATGCTGTGGTACAGCCTAAAATATAGCAGAGTAGGCCTATTCATCTCTAATCTGAATTTGATAACAGCCAAAAAATTATAATATTTCACTTGCCTACAGTGAGCAAAACATTCAAATAATATACTACAGTCTATTTTGGGAGCCTATTAAGAATACAAATGTCATTATTTATAGAAATTACGTTACACACATCTGATATGTCAACATTAGCAATATTCGCATATGACACAAAACCTTTTTGTTCTAGAGGGAATATAAAGGCGTTACTAAATATGGTCACTTCAGAAATGTGCAAAGTAAAAATAAGTAGTTTAAAAACTGTCATTATTATTATTATTGTTATTGTTTTTAAAGCAGCATATTAGTACGACACAAAAATATCTATCTATGTCTGTGTTTTTTTAATATGTGTATGTTACTATGTTACTAGATGTTATAAACAGTATACCTGTCATAAATTATAAGGAAAGATTTATTATAGGATAGGGCACAAACAGGAAGGAAATTTATCTAGACAGGGAGGCAACGCAAACAGACCACTGATGTTCAGCAGCGCCACAATGTGGGAATAATAATGAATTGTTCTCTTTACCTCCTCCTCGCGCTTTACCTCGTGTCTCCACAAGGAGGGAGCAACGGTATGCTGGCTGCTTTAGGTGTTGTCGGAAATCTAATGTATAACTTGGAAGCGATAGCCAAATTAGACAAGTATATACGCGTCAGCCAACTAGACAAATTGCCTGTTTGTTTGCATGTAGCGAACACGTTCAATGTCCGTGCCTGCTCAGACACACGGACTGTTTTCTTGAAGTTAAGAGACAGCACATGTCGGGGACGTTTATTGTTGCAAAAAAGCGTTTCAAAATCATTAAAAAAAACCTACAGATGTTTCATTTTATACAGCAGTTCAGCCCATCGCCCATTTTATGGAGAGGAAATGTGTCTTTTCACTATTCACATTTCACCCAAACTATCAGTCACTTTAGGGATGACCAACAAATCCAAGAACCTGTTTGAAAACAGTGTGACCTCCCTGGTCCCGTGTGGTGTGTCCAGCCAGCTGAAGCAGGACCGCCCCGTAGCCTACATATTAAATCGCTGTACTGCTCAGACTGCCCCCCGTTTTTTGGCAACAGCAGCGGCGCAGCCCCTCCTGAAGGAGGAGAAGTCTGATCAGACGCCAGTTTTATTGCGTTGTCATGTTTCACAAGGAGTCCAGATGCTCCGAGGCCGTCTGACACTGTAATTTCATGGATGCACCCAAAGCCTGAAAGAGGAAAGTTATTTCTTTTCATTCCTCTCATCTCTTTTTTTCTTCTTCTTGCGCTTCTACTACAACCAACCAAGTTTTCATGGGTGAACATCGTTGGTGCAAACTGTAGTGTTGTGTTTGGTGCAAATCTTGTTCGCTTGTCAAGATGCAGTTCCGCACCGTCCTTGACGTAAATGTTGTGGACGTGCAGAAAAGAAGGAATCCTTCGAAGCACTATGTAAGTTGTATACTCTCTCTCTGTTTTCGTTCTGTTCTTGTTCAAGTAGATCACCAGTGCAGTTATTGTGTATTGTCTCTGTGGAAATTTAACCCATGCTATGCAGCTCTGTGGACGCCAGTGTTTCTCTGAGGGTCCATCACTTTCACCAAACAGCTGTTGAACGGACCTGGTGCTTTTTTCTTTTTCTTTTTTAAATTTAATTTAATTTTTTAAATAGACACATTCATGGTACCCAGAAGATGTCTCTTTATGACTTTGGTGATCTGAGGCGTTGTATTTTTGTCACCACATGGCTTTGATTGAAATGTAGATACAACCTATTACATTTGATTTTGTATATACTTGACAACAGTGATTGATTATCAGGTCATTTAAAAAATATCAGATGCTTTGATTTATTTGGGTATTTTAATAAACGAAAGTAATTGTGTTTTAAAAAATCTTGCAAGCTTTTGCTTAGTGCTGTACTGTCGTGCCTGAAAAACACCAGCATTTTATTTTTGCCTGTAAAATACAGTGTCACTGTGTCTGACGTCTGACAGAGCCGACAGCACACACGGAGGCTTAAAAACACAAACAAACTGAAATCACATATACGTGACAGCCAGCTGGATGAGGATCCTAAGACCTGGGCTGCACCCTAAGCAGCGAGTAAGGGCAACACCATCGTCTAAATAGACGTAGCAAAAGTAGTAGTCAGGGATTTGCAGCTATATTTTTACACACATATATATTTAATGTTTTAATTGTGTATATGGCAGACTAACTGTGGTGCCCTGTTTCCCAGTGATTTTTTTTTGCTTTTCATTGTTCACCTAACAATCTAAAGTGCAGAAAAAGTGTTGTGTTCATGTTTGAATGTTAGATGAGAAAGAGCTAACCCAGGGATTAACTTTATTCAAACTCTGTTAAGCTGGGACCATTGGTAACTGATATGTTTTTTTTCCTCAAAGGAGAGCTCATTTACAAAGCAAATGCATATGCTGTAGATGTCAAACCTGTAATTTAAGCTTTGAGCCTTACTTCTTGTTGAGGCTAGAATGGGTTAATATGGATTTGAACTAACACAACACCAAACTTAGCATACATATCTACACAACAACTACCCAAATTCACTTAAATATATCATCATATTAATGGATGAACAGATCACTCTTTACACTAATGTTTTGGTTGACAAGTCTCTTTTTTATTTTGTGTTTGTTATTCATTAACAAACATTTTGCCCCATTGAAACAAACAAAGCCCTACTTTAAACAAAACAACTATTCAATTCAATTCAATTCAATTTTATTTATATAGCGCCAAATCACAACAAATGTCGCCTCAAGGCGCTTCATAGATACAACTACAAACAAATAACTAAAAAGTATTTCAATTCTACACTGCATTAACGTTACAAACAGATAAAAATCACATGTTGCCTTCAATAAAAGCATTTTTTTCACTCTGACATCAAATGTCATTACTGGTTAAATAATAGTGCATCCCTAGTCACAGTTAAAGCAGGAAAAGTAATTAATTAATACTTCAGATGAATACTTCAAATACTAGTGCCCCCAAGCACCGACCCACTTTCTTGAATTTGGCCTACTTGCAGTGAACATAACTGTATTTGTGGATTACCTGCAACATATGAAAACATGACAAACACTTTTGACCCTTAGACTATATTCAAAAGCTGGACATTACTTCCCAATCTGTAGACTTACCTCAACTCAATTCACATTTATTTACAACACACATGTTAAAAAAAACAAAAAAAACAAATCAGAAATAAAATCAGTACTGAATCTTTTATGTACTGTTTGTGATTATGTCACTCATGTAACAGTGGCTGTCTGGCTGACTGTCTATATGGGCAAACGTGATATATCAGTTTAAAACTTTTACATGATTCAATGATTGCTGTGACCCAAAGTCATAAAATGCAATATCACTAACCGTAAGTTTAAGTTTGGATCGTCCTAGACGAATTTGTGACACCACATTTTAGATTAGGGTCATTTATTTGATGCCACATAAGGTACATATTATTAGGAAAGAATTGGTGTACCAATAGGTAATCTCTAAAATAGCAAGGGTCATATTGATCTATTTTTTTGGAGGGAATGTACCATCCGAATGTCTTTATACCGATATGAGGTGCTGGTGCCAGTTTTGCTTTTTCCAGGCACATTCCCATGTAAACGTCATCAATAGGAAAAAGTGGAATAGCATTGGAATAGCTATGTATCATTAAAGCTGTAAAGCTGGACAAAAGAAAGCCCCCACCACCACAATAGTTTGGGTAAACATTTTTTTCATATAATTGAGATGGAACAAA